CTTGTCTGATTCGGTTTTTATAAGCATTTATAGGCAGAACTGCTTATGTCCACTGTTAAAGTGGTGTTTGCTCTCTCTTGGGGGAGATTGCTTCACAATTGTTCTATGGGGATAGGATCCTGTATCTTCCTTTGGAGCTCATGCTGCTGATCACTCCATTTGACGTGATACTGAACTATATGGACCCTTTGCTCTGTGGTGGTATCTCCGGGGAAGACTTGTACCCCAAAGCAAAAAGCTGTTGGTCTGTAAAAGTAATCTTTGCTGTACAGGGTGAAGGTTTTTTCCGGCATATTCTCGGTTCACATACTTATCATAAATTGATATTCATAAATATGATAGATGCAGACTGCTGTGACTGAAAGTTGCCTTTACTCCTTGTTTGTAGGTAGCTTTTTGTGATTACTCACAGCAGGGCAGACTTGTGATTTCTGTGAATTTCCTTTACTGAATCTGGGACAAAAACTACTCGGTAAAAATGTTTTACTTCTTATACAGAAAGAATGGAAAAAAGTACTGTGAAAAAGTACTATCAGAGGAAAATAGCCATAGCTCAATATTTTTGTTGACAATTTCACTGTTTCGTTTAAAATTGCTGGTATTTGTTCCTACAACAGATTGTGATTTTTTTACAGGCACAGTACCTTGTGAGAAGAATAGCGCTTTTGTTCCTCCAAACTGGTATTTTTTAATTGTCAGTGTAAATCAAAACAAGATGGTAACAGACTTTTCCCAGACATAAGAACAGAGAGAACAAGTATAAAGTATGCCTGTATTCAGATAAAGTATTTAAATAGGGGCGACATGGAGAAGCTTGGGGCACTTTTTTGCAGTGGTGCACTTATGTTCTTCCAAAAAAGCATTTAGAATGATTTTTTTTTAACATACATTGAAAGGATGGAAGATCCTTTGCATTTTGTGTGTTTAATTCCAAACCTCTGAAGAGGGAAGTAATTAAAGTAATGTGTGCCTCCAAAGAGATGTGGAATTGACATTTTATTCCTAACTGGATTTCTCTTATGCCTGACTATTGCTAGCAAAAGGACACCAGTTGTTACCAGATTTTGGAGTGTTTGCTTTGCTAAGTTTGCAGTGTGCAATTACTTTATAATTGATTTTTAACTATCTCTAATGAAGTATTGTAGAGGTCCCGTTCCTTCCTGTTGTAAGCAACTGTCCTGTTATGTCGGTGGTACCTTTGAATTAAGCCTGAATAACTAAAAACAGACTTAGTAAAATGAAACACTCCAAGAAGTCTAAGTGTAGAACCACTTCAACCTGAATTATTGCCCAACTCTTAAGGCTTGAAAACAAAAGCCAAATATGTTTGTCAAAGTCTGCCTGTCACTGCCTTGGCATGGAAATTGTTGAAGTGATTTCTTCCAAGTCTGAGGCTTAGAGGTTTCTCCCTGCTTTCCCTCCCCGCCAAATACTGGACAGCTGAAAGATTTAGCCTAGATTCTTAGCAAGTTTTCCTTTCTCTCACTCAATGTAAATGGTGAGAATCAGCATATTTCTGTTGGAGGTGCCTTTCTTGAAGATAGATGAACTATCGCATCACAGTACTCCCACTTCTTCCTGCAGTTTATTCCTGTACTGGTGGAGATAGAGACAGTCAGCTCTGCAGCTGCATGGTTTTAGGAAATAATCTATACTAAATTCATGGTCAGGCCAGCTTTGTGTAAGGGAATTGTGTCCCAAAGAGAAGTGTCGGTTTCTCTTAAGGGGAACCACACCAGCTTTCTGCTTGTGACCTGTTTTTGAAGTACCTCTCTTCAGTCATTCTCCAGCTGCAAAATAGATGTTTGGTGTTTCTGCTCTCCCTGCTTCCAGTTCAGCCTTTCAACAAAGCAAGTTTGCCTATGTTCTTGATGTAAATATACAACCTAGAGAGCCAAGTTCAAGCTGTACCACCTTGCATGTAGCCTTGAGGCTGAAGACTTCAGTGCTTGGGCACATTTAGCACCCTTAACAAGCTTTCCATAAGCTGCAGTGCCATCCCAGTAACACAGAGCAGCGAGTTCTTGTTATGCTAGTTACTATGGTTGAAAATACAGCCCCAAATACTCCAAATTGGTTGGTCTCCCGTATGCCTTAGTAGTACTGAGGAGAATAGTGGAACTTATTTTCACCTCAACTGACAAAATCACTCCCTCTCTATGATATTTTTATAATGGGCACCACTGCTATTGCTGTTTTCAATCCCTGTTTTAATAACACTAATTATGATATCTTGTTGTGTTAGTGCAGGGGCTGGGCTTCCACAGGTATCCCACTGAAGTCTGAGTGGCATAATTTGATTTCCCTCTGGTATAAAAGTAGCTGCTCTGTTTCCTTGTTTCCCTATACAACTTATCAAAACTCAGAATCTGAAATCTGTCATATTAAATTTACTGCCCAAAAAGTAATTGTTTCTGCTACTGCTAATAACAGCTAATATTGCTAGTATCTTGCACCACTGGATAGCAGTACAAACCTTAAGAAAGTAAACATGATCGTAGAATTTGGAAACTGGCGTTTTCATGATGCTGTTACTTAAAAACTCTTCATCCACAGTATTACTAAGGAAGGATAAATTATCTATCCAGTCAATACTTTAGGATTTCTGGCTGTAAGGAATAGACTGACCTGACACAAACTATTCTGTCAGGAACTGTAGTTCTCCTCTGGCAGAGATTTGTTGATTAAGAAGTGACTAATGGCTATCTACTAGGAAGAATCAGGTGTGAGTCCTGTACAAACACCTGGGCCAAGTTCAGCTGTTGTTCAAACAGTAGTGCAGTATGGTATAAGGACGCCCACTATTCTTAAAGGAATATCCAGCCTTTACTTGAAGGGCTTTTCAGAGGGAACATAGCCAGTCAAGACCTGTAGTTGAACTGTTGCTTAACATACTGCATCCAAAAATGGTGCATCACTTTGTAAACCCACTATACTGATGCAAATTTACTATTACATCATCACTGCTATTTCCTGACCCTATTGCACATAATATGAAACTTTATAATCAGAAGATTCAGCTCTCCCTGTTGTAAAAAGACTATCGGAATGAGTTAGGTTATTTGATACAAGAGAAGAAACACTGTTTTCTGAATTGGGCTGTCTTTATTAGGTTGGCTCTGAGTACACTAAAACTTTGCACAAGTTTGGATCTACACCTGAGCTGTACGGCTGGACTTGATGAGCTAATTCAAATACTGGATAAGTGAACACAATGCCCCATGTGATTCCCTGTTTTTACAGCTGGGGAAGCAGATGTTAGAGATTGTGTTACATGAGTGGTTACTCTTCTCATTTTTGTAATATAATCTAGTTGCTAATAATCACAGAGCCTAGGGACTTAATTATGGCCCCAAAATTCGGGGATCAAAGCATAATGAAAAGTCAAATTCCCTTTTTATTCTTACCTTCTGAAAACTGCACCTTGAATCTATTTCATGGTGAGGAAAGACTCCTAATATTTCAAATTTCAATGTACAGACAGAATCACAAATTGAGCTGTTTCCCAGATCAGTGGAACTAAATCAAAACGTTGTGAATAGATTCTACCACAGCCTCACCCATTACAGAGTCAAAATCATACCCCAAGCATGATGTGATAACAGAAAATGCCTTGAACCACTTTAAAGGAGCAAAGCAAGAATATAGGGATTGCATTTTGCTTTACAAAGGCTTAAGCACAAGAAAATTATAACCCCCCCCTTTTTTTTAAATGCTGTTCAAATGAAAATTTTGTAATCATGCAATTCTTTGTTTGAAGTTGCTGAATGTATAATTTCTTTTAGTTCACTTCAAAGTCAAGTTCTTTAACTGACTACATGCGTATATAGCCTTTTGCTAGAAACGATCTATCTTTGCCTTTCGGTTATGAACACATCATACATTGTCTTTGTAAGGCCAGTAGATTTCCTAGCTGTCATTATTTGCCATTGTAGTGAGTTTCTTTGAACTCAACCCCCCTTATTGTTTTCAAAGCACTGAGTTTAGTTTATCCAAACCCCTGCCAACAGTTTGTGTATCACTACTGATCTTTCACTCTGCTGCCTTCAGAGCAGAAATAGCAGCCACAAATGTTTCAGAGCTATAAACACAGACCTCAAGATCCCTACTGTAGCCAGGCATGCTGTAACACACACTAGGTTATTTATGGGAAGAGTTGTGTCCCTTTGTTTCTACAGGGTTGGACTCTGCTCAGCAGGTGTGTGCCCTGATACCCTTCTATTCCCAACATAGAAATATTAATTTATTATTCAGATTAATTCAACAGCTGATGCAATTAGCCTGATGCCTGTCATCCTTTCTTTATCCTAATCAAATCCCATTTTCTCCTGGAGGTCCATAATGCAGTTGTTTATACACAGATTGATATCTTTGTTTTATAGTTCAGTTGTTGATTTACATACCTGTTTGGTTTTGATTCCAAGCATTTGATTTGAGTGTGCCTTTGTCGGTCTTGGCCCATATTGCAGAATGCTGTTTTGCTTAGGAATTAGAAAAAGCCCATCTTTCTACAACTGTGGCGCTCTCCTGCTCAGCGCTTCCTCTCACTTCATTGAACTATTGAAGCAGCTGAGCAAACGGAGGTCTGCTCTGAGATATTTTGCAAGTAGAGAAGCAGACCAAGTCTGTTGAACAAATGATTATTTTAAAGCCTTAAGAGTCGGCTCAGTTGGGCATACAGTCGTCTTTGTCAGAGTATTGCTGTGTTTCCTTGCCCTGGCAAAGTTGGTGCAAGCAGAAGTGATACATTGGGTAAGATCTATGTCTTTTGTCCAATTCCATTTTGCTCAGTGGCAAGTGCATTTGTACAAGAGAAATCAGAGCTCGCAGAGGCAAGAGTCTTATTCACACAGGAATACAGGTCAACATTACAAATCCATTTTAACCTTCGTCTTCCGATGCTTATTCTAGAGGCTGGATGCTAAGCTATTTTACCTTCTAGAGGAAACACTCTTAGACATAAAATGTTGAATAAATAGCAAAGTCAAGTCAACACTTACTCGTAAAATTCAGCCGCAGGAGTGAGCTTGTACTTTGAATATTTGGTACCATTGCCAAGCACTGATGCATTGAAGAGTTTGGGATCTGTACAGTTTGGGCTGTTCCAACTGTTGTCGCAGTTTGTCCAGGGGAGCTCAAATGTGAATGATGAAAATAGATAATACAGAGACCAAGCTATGATAACGTTGTAGTAGAAACCCACGTAAAGAGCTATGAGTATCACTGCATAGCCTACACCTAAAGACAAAGGAAAACTAGATTATACATTGCGTTTTATGTGCAACAGTATATGCAAACACTGTAGTTAAACTCAGCCATACATGGCTGCAAGTTCATTTTAGATCTTCAGACTAATAAAAGGAATTTTTTGACGTTTACATGCACACATGTGGACACAGTGTCACTGACCTTAAAACAAACAATTATATTAATGATTTTGGAAAATGACTGGCTTTTAGGAAGTCCAGCTGTTTGCCAGAAAAAGAAATTAAGCAGTGCAATGTCAAAATTTGCTCTTGTACAACTCTGTTGCTGATTTCCTTCCAATGCAGAAGATTGCAAGCCCATGTTAGGAGTAAAGCTCACTTCATCTTCATAATGTCAGAGTCCTTGGCAACTTTTCTTGGAAAAGTAAAGCTCGAGACTTAAGTGAAGCTTCCCTATGCCTCATTTTCCCACCCTGAGCTAGTTTGGAACAGACACTGATCCCTCTCCTGTTTCTTTCCCATTGTTACTCTCCAGATTGGCTTCCGCCAGTGTGTACCTAGGTCCAAAACATGCATGAAACAATCTGTGCTGTTCCACTGAGGGGCTCCAAGCGGTTCTTGGGCGTGCCAGTAAATCTTGGTGAATATCAAGCTTGGGGCTAAACTGTGTGTGGACCTTCAAACCATTTTATTATCTCCCCAGGATTTACAGAATCCTCACTGTAAGCATTCTCTTTGAACATTTGTTTTGTGTTTTTGCGTACTGTGAAGGGTGCTTGGAGGGTCCCTTTAGTGAGAGAGCCCCAGAGTGTGCATGTTGTCCTCATTAAAATGGACATTTTCCAATGGCTTGGGAGGAAGCTTTGGTACTAATGTCAGACCAGAACAAAAGTTTGTTGCCAGAATTATTCAGGAAGTTTGCCTTACTTTGGCGTATATAATTTCTTCCTTTACTCTGTGTGCAGCGTTGTTCTCTGAATCCTATCCCAAAGTTGTATTACATATAATGGGTAGAGACTACAGCTGTTTTATGATTATCATCACTGTATTGTCACAGCACCCGAGTGTAAACCTTTACTTCTAATTTTCTTCAGTTTAGTTTTTTGGAGATAATGCATTGGAGGCCTAGTAGTTGGAGATTATTACGCTTTCGTATTTCTTGATAAAGCAAGGAAGTAGCACTCACTTTGAGCATTAATCCTTGGTTTAAAATTTGCGTAAGGAATAGCTGCTGACCCTGAACGAGTTGGCAGTTCAAAGGCTGCTGCATATACCAAAGTTACTCTTTGCTCTTCAGGAGGCTTTTAATACATCGACCAGTTTGCTCATCCCTAACATTGGGGGAAAAGATTGTGAAAGTAACGATGAAACTGTATCTTCAAATCCTTGGTGCTTAAATGAATCCAGTACATTAACACTCAAACTCTAGTGATGCATTATGATCAACAGAATGGAGCGGAGGGGTGAATCACCCAGGGGGATAATTCTTAAATGCTAATGTGAATGTTAAAATACTAAGTACAAATAATACATGTTGCCCTCTAATTGGATGATTTCCTGAGATTCCTCCAATTTAGGAGGACAATGACAGCTATTTAATACTAAGATTAAAAAATACTGGATCAAATGTATCTTAAATGTCACTCCTCTGAAATCATAAGAATGTTCAGGAATGAATCTGCTCTCGTGTTTCTAGGTCTAGCTTTTCTTAAAAGTAATGCTGCACCGCCCACAATGTAAAATAGACCCTGGAAAATGCAGAGATGAAAACAGACTGTGTTGCAAAGGTTACAGGGTATATTTTTAATTGCATGTGTTATGAGAGCATCTCATTAGAAGTAGAGTCCTTAGAGTTCATAGCAATAATATTCATAGCTAAAATTAGTACTATAGTGCTGCTCATTTAGAGCAGCTGTTATAAATTTGTGTAGACTGTGTACTTTTCATGTGAGTGAGAGATTTGAGTTATCCTAGAAACAACTCAAAAGCGTTAGCAGTGAAATGTGTTTGTGTGTTATCAGAAGATTTGATAAACTTTAGAAGTACTGGGTTCATACTAATGCTGAGGTGCAAATACAACTCAATGCTTATTACTTTTTGAGAATCAAGTAACTTATGCTATTCTATGTTCTAGTAATAAGAAGACCTAAAAATCAACAGTAGTGTATGTTTAGTCCACCTTGAAAATGTCAGCTTAAAAACACAGCTGGAATGTCAACAAGACTATACATGAAATAAGTTCTGTTTTCCTTTCTCATCATCTTTTCAATCCTGAAGTCAACAGATAGAGTGCCTCTGAGCACAGTGGTATTTGGCTCAAACACTTTGAGATCCTAAAGGTCTAATTTTTTCAGTTAGGTTTTCAAAATCCTTGTTGCCGTCCAAAGGTATTAACTGATACTGGCAGGAGTTTTGATTGAGCAAGGGTCTTCAGGTCGCAGGGTGCTGGGATGAATTTTGTCTCCCGTGAAGTGATTATAGAAGGGCTGGGTAAATCTATATGAATTCATTTTAAAATTTTGGGGCATGTCTTTTATTAGCTTGCTTATTTATTTTTTATTATATCTCTAATTTTCTTGTGAGTTTTGGGTTTGACTGGTAAGAAAAAACCTGCAGTTTTCCTATTCTGTGGCACTAGACTCCTTGAGGAGGAAAGCTGTATTTCGAGAAAGAAGACTAACATTTACTCAGTGTAACCTATATCCAAGCACCGGATCCGCCAAGTTTGGATTGCTGCTGTTAAGCTCCTCAGCTTTTGTCAGTGACGGGATGAACACGATCTGAATTTTAAGCTTCTAAGATCAGCTGAGGTTGACTGGTTTAATTTCAAATAGCTCTGTGTTGAAAAGGCTTTTACATAAGATTTTAGATACAATCTGGTATAGATATAAGGGAACTTAACATATTTGCTGGTAAGCAATGCTTAAGAAAAATATTTAAGGAGCCTCAAGAATTGTTTCATGTACAGAAAGCATATGGCTTCTTTCACCCAGGGAGATCCCTTTATCCCTGATCAATGCCAAACACCCTGATCAGTATCCAAACATCTAACCTCGGCTATTTCTTCCTTGCAGAATGATTGCAACTCAGTGCACAAGACAACAGTCCACAGCCTTTTATTCAGTGGCACTGGAGAGTTAACCCTCGTGGAAAACACTCAATAGTAATAAAAATGTTCAGGTTTTAATAAGTGCTTTTCATTGCTAGATTTGAAAACCACTTTACCAAGTCTATCAGAATCATTGCTCCCATTTCATAGGCAGGAAGACTGAGGTACAGAGCCACAGATAACTCACATGATGTTACAAGTCTAGTGGCTGAACTACAGTCTTCACAACTCCGTTTTAGTGTTCTTGCTACTGTGGTACACTGACTTCTGCAGAGAAAGCGCTGCAGAATGAACTGAGTGGAGTCAGTGGTTGTATTAGTTGCTGGCGGAGACAGGGCTGAACTGACCCCGGTGGGATTTGTTATTTCCAGATGTTTGCATTGCCAGCCCCTCCCTCCACCTAGTGATACCCAGTTCCTCCCACTCCCCAATATGCTGGGCAAAGGGAGGACAGGGCTGAACTCCTCCTCTGTTGTGCTCGTCAGCAATCACCCTGAAGGTGATTTCTGTGGCTTTTCCCATTTTGTCCTCCACCTGTGACAATAAAAAGACTTCTGACTTCAAGGGCTGGGGAAAGGTCAGCAAATATGCTGTCTGTGGAAAAATGAGACCTTTACTTTGTGATCACGAGTGTGTAGCACCCTCACAGTGCTATTCAAGTGAGCAGAGGGACACTTACCTTTGAAAACTGGACAGATTTTCCACACAGTGGCAGCCCCTTCTCGGTTATACTGTCCCAGTGCTAATTCCATATAGAACAGGGGCATTCCAGCAATGATTAAGAAGAGGATATAGGGAATAAGAAAAGCACCTGAAAAGAGAATAATTAGACATTGTAGTCTGTTTTGGTTACATTTTGCTTTATTGCTTACTTCTACTGGCTAAAGACAAAGCAACTGTGCCTTTGGGAAGTAGAAAGGAAATACCAGGAAGGAAGAACCCATGTTCTTTTGTCCCTTTCCAGGTTGGTTTGTTTGTTTGCCTGTTTTTTTAAGGTCTCAAGAGACAGAACCCCTGAAAAAAAGCTGTAGACGATGGCTCCTACTTCCCCCTAATGTTTCCCCTCTGCTTTTGACTTCAAAAGAAAAAAAAAGTGTCCCTGAAAATGAATGTCTATCTGAAGAAATGATGCCTAACGCACTTGCAGAGCTACAGTGAAAGGGATTCTCAAAATTTTTGTCAAGTGTTTTTTAGTGTAGTATGTTCAAAAGGGAGCATGGAGGCCAGTAACAGGGGAAAAGAAATGTTGTGCAAGTTCTTGTAAGTGTGATTTAAATCGTACTGTTTCAAGTGTCTGCAGGAACCTCTGGCTTGAAAATTAATCACTGCTGGTCAGTCATATGGAATTCGGGCTTCCATGGCATATTTTGCTTTTTGCTATAATAAATTCCCTTATAAAATGTGTTAGACAACACACCTCTTTCCAACCTTGTGATACTCATTGCTGTTAACGGGGAGTATGTACTAGGTTTCACTGCTAGCCCCAAGTACAGCATCTTTATATTGCAGCAGGGCAGTGCTGGGGCTGCTTGCACCTTCCTGAAATACAGAGCTTTACTTGACTGAGGATTCTCCTGTGAGTTTATACCACAGAAACTGTCACCTGCAGAAAAATCCTGACGTGTCAGTGCTGTTATCATTAAGAGTATTGCCAACTGAAATACAAAAGGATCATCTAATGTTAGAAATTATCTGAAAATTTCTTAGTAATTTTATATGATGCACGTCAAAGGGCATGGCTACATATGATACTATAAAACAATTATAGTTGGTGTCATGTTAAATAACTGGATGGATAAGGCCAACCATATCCTGGGCTGCATCAGAAGTGTGGCCAGCAGGTCAAAGGAGGTGCTTCTGCCCCTCTGCTCCGCTCTCGTGAGTCCCCACCTGGAGTACTGCGTCCAGCTCTGGAGTCCTCAACATAAGAAAGACATGGACCTGCTTGAATGTGTCCAAAAGAGAGCCACGAGGATGGTTCGAGGGCTGAAGCACCTCTCCTACGAGGAGAGGCTGAGAGAGCTGGGGCTGTTCAGCCTGGAGAAGAGAAGGCTCCGGGGAGATCTTATTGCCGCCTTCCAGTACCTAAAGGGGCCCTACAGGAGAGCTGGGGAGGGACTTTTTACTGGGGCATGTAGTGACAGGACGAGGGGGAATGGCTATAAACTGGAAGAGGGCAGGATTAGATTAAACATTAGGAAGAAGTTTTTCACTTTGAGGGTGGTGAGGCACTGGAAGAGGTTGCCCAGAGAGGCTGTTGAGGCCCCATCCCTGGAGGGGTTCAAGGCCAGGCTGGACGTGGCCATGGGCAACCTGGGCTGGTGGGAGGTGTTCCTGCCTATGGCAGGGGGGTTGGAGCTACATGATCATCGAGGTCGTTTCCAACCTAAACCATTCTATGATTTTATGGATGTTCTGTCAGTCCTCTGCTTTGTGGTACCTGTAAAGTGTAGCTTGTAATTTATTGCATAGCTTACTTGGTCCAGAACAGTTCAATTCATGTAAAATTTGTCTGTATAAAAAGATTAGATTGTTTTGATAAATAAGGACCTGAAAGAGTAACTGCACAACCTGAATAACTGACTGCTGTCCTTAGGAGTTACATATGAAAAAGAAACTAGATTGTGAAAATCAAAGTGATGATGTTCAGCAAAAGAAAAAAGAAAACCAGCAGCAGCTCTCTATTTCTCCCAATAGCAGGTAACAGGAACTTTTGCAAACCTTTAAAATCTGCTGTACTGGTTTAGTAATTTGAAAACTTCCTTTGCAAAAGGAAGTAAGTTTGCATTGCTTCCAAATACCTAAACTTACAGAAGGTGTGTGTAGTCCATGAAAGCTAAAAGCATGACTGCAGCTATCTAAAACATGCCAGTAAACAGAAAGAATTGCATATTTAAAAAATACTTCTGAAACTACAGTCGTGCTTTTAAAAGTCTGAGTAGTTGTTGCTCCTTTACCTTTCATGTTTGCTTTTTCACAGATATTACTAGCGTAAGCTGCCTACTGTACCTATTCAGAGAGGGAATTTTGAGTATATACTGGAGAACAAGAATAGAAAAGCAAACTCTGTTCTCTTAGTCATACCACAAATCTAGTTCTAAAAGTAACGTGCTGTAACATAATGGTAAGGGCAATGTATTCAGCATTCAGTCATAAGTTTAGACATTTGAAAGTTGAAATCTTGCAATGAAACAGAGATAAGGTATATCAACAGAAATAAAGAATAGCTTAAAGCTTTGAGAATGTATCCTAAAAGCGGAAATATATTGGTTGGTATCACTTTGGGGGCAAGAATCTTATTCATGCAGTTTATATGGAGTGTAGTGTGAATGCAACCTGCATTTACGTAAGCTACTACAGTACCAGTGATACACGTGTTAATAATATTTCAGTGTTGTTCATAAGCTGCTTTCTATGGTTGTCATGTTGAACTGTCATATGTTTGAATATTGTAGAGAAAAAAATATTTGTATTCCACAAACACTTGATACTTTGCAGTCCTGAGCTTTGTTCAATGTTGAAACATACTCAGCTAAATCAATCTGGGGTACTACATATTGCTTTCACTATATCTAGAAATATTTTAGGTGACGTTACTGTCAGATGTCTTGTAAGTGACAGCCTTTGAAGTGCCATACTTGTCTTGCTTCAATAGTATTGCAGTGTGTGGAGCTGACTCACAAACCTAGCTTGTATTTGGGAGGTATGGAGTTTGCACAGAGTGCTGTTTGATTAATCTCAATGTCAAGAGACTGTGGAAAACACTTTGCCACAAATTGAATAGGGAAATTTGTGTTTGAGAAAATTAATCCTGGAGATGCGTAGTGGACATACATATTAAATGCTAGTTTAAAATACGTGGTTTTTAAGTATGACTAATACCATGATGAACTGTGAAGTGTACTGTACTTAGATGACGCTCAAGCAAGTATGCCTCTTTGGCTGCGAGTCATTCCGGGCTTTAGTTAAAGGAGGTTTCTTTCTTTTTTTTTTTTCTTCCCCCGCCCTGCCCCCGCAAGGGATTAATAAGGTGTGGTGTAATTTTGAGCAAAGAGCAGTTACGCAGTATGGCAGGGTTTCATAGCTGGGTTACTTTTCAGGTAACTAAATGATTGAAATATTTTGAAATTGAGATAAATCTCAAAGTAAGGGTGCTTAGTCACATTAAGTTGACTTAATGTTTTGGAGACTTCTGGAAACTTCTTGTTTAACAGCTTCTGATTAGGTAAAAAATACCAAAAAGTCAAGTATTTTGTAAATATCCTGATATTTTCTCTTCTCTTCCCAGCCAGTATCCAGAATCAAGCGTCACTGGGGTTCACTGAACCCTTTCTGAGATCATGGGCACTTCAAAGGAAAATAAATGATGGTCAAAGTATCGAGCAAATTGCTGTAAACAAGAATGGTACGAAAATGCTTATAAACAGCACGTGTGATATATGATCGCCCTCACTTTGTGATTGCGCAGGGGCTCCATCATAGGACTGGTTTGTGTACAGTATCCTGTGAGGAAGAGGGGTTGTTTGGAAGGAGCCTTCATACCGCCCTGCCTGTGCGAACGTCTGTGGGGCAGGGAGGGGGCAAACCGGCATCCTGGTGGGCCTCTTGCATTAGGTTCACTGGTGTGAATTTGAGCATCACACCACACTTCTCTGAAGGAGCAGCCTCACTGTTAATGCCTTCCTGGTCTATGGAGTCAAAATGTCTTAGGAAGAGCGACATGACACCAGCTGCGTCACTCCTGCCTGCACCACTGGCCACAGAAACTGCTGTGCTTTAATTGCATGAATCTGAGGGGCCAGTCTGATTTGTATAGCCCAGACAGCTGAACTCTTAGGGAGCACACAGTTTGGCTAACACTTCAGACTAGCTTGCCAAGATCTACCTACCTCAGAGAGCTGAGGGAATGCAATCTGTGGGATTGCTGCATTGGCAGTAACGCTGATAGCACTCGAGGGGATTCCGCTCCCCCACTGCGTGATGGGACGGGGCTGAGCACACAGCTGCATCCCACAAGGCAACACTGGTCTCGGCAATCCTTAATGGTGCCTAATTTCCCTTTACAGCTAAAAATCTGAAGTAATTAACATCTGTAATACAGCCCTGGCTTAAGACCCATACTTGACTTGCTACTGAGTTCTGTGCAGTTCAAAATCCACAGGTTGGCCTTGGACTGTTGTGAATTGCTACATCTTGCTGTCAACAGATTTCATGAGATGCGTATACACCCCATAAGGTACCAGTGTATACATGGAGTTCAGACGGCCTTATGTCTTATGCAAAACTAGATTAGGTCAAACCTCAGCTTCTACAAGAACCATCTGTGTGAAACTTCAAGTGGAAATTTATACAGTTTGTTTTTTGTTTTTTTTTTTTAAAAAAACACCGTTACATTTAATTAATGAAGGACAAAATACAAGACAGGCTTTTTATTCCTGTGTTCAGTGCCAAAACAGCTTCTTAATTTTGGTATAACAGAATCCATGCAGAGTGTCTCCTCCCTCTGTTCTTCAGCATTCACAGATCTTATAAGGGGTGGGAAGCAAAGGTTAATGCAGCTCTAAATAGTCCTCTTACTCCCACAAGTAGGTCTCATCTTGCTTTTAAATACCAGAAAGAAAGAAGCATCAATTTACTAATGACTGAAAAAAAGATCATTTAAACAGCTGCTGTTATCCTAAAAGGATTTGTTGATGCACATACAGCAAGTAGGCCAGGACAGGGGTAGTTGAAACAACTTTGAACTATTTGTGCTCATTAGCCTTCTGCATTTGTTACCATGGTTATTCTAGTCAAAATGTTAACTGGTGGGGATGTCTGCTAAAACAACAAACTTCGAGCAAATATTGTAGTATATTTGCAGATAGGAGTGTTTCCAGTATTTGTGCAGGAAAAGAATCTAAAAGATCTCCCAATTGGTGCATTGAAATATGAGCTAATCTCTGTATCTGATCAACACTGCTTGGTTTCTTTAATTGGTGCAGACTCTTGTGAATGGAAAAGGAAGTCCCTGATGCAGAGATCTTGAAATCTAAATCGTACAAGATCACCACAGGTAGAAAACCGAGGTAATTGGAAAGGCAGGCATTTCTTAGTACATGAACGTTAATTCTGGCTCTTCAGCAGACTAGCTAGCAGCTGGCTTGCACAGCCACCGAGGGCACCTCTGAAGGAGGCGAGCTTGAGCCTGCTGCTGGCTCCTGGGAAGGAAGGGGTCGAAGGGTAGACCTTTACTGACCTGAGATTAAAAGCAATAAGGGATTGCGTGGCACAGCAAAGAGAAGTCAGAGAAACAAAGGAGTATGATGTAACCTCAGCGTCAAAGCCAAGACGATGATTTTAACAGCAGCTGTATGATGATGTTGAGCCCAGCCAGCAATAGATTATAGTAGTCAAAAATAACATTTTTCTGCAAAACAGACTGTGTGACATACTATAAAAACTTCAGCAGCACTTTGCACGTATAAAGTCCTCCAAGTATGCAATAAAATCTTACAAGTATGCAACCTTTTTCATGGAAAGTATTTCTGAATCATAAAATCAGTGGAGCTATACCATGGTGAGTGACATGTTTCTTCTGAAGTCCTTATATTTAGCTACTCCCTCTAACACACCATTGCTAGATTTGAACCTATTTATATTTCTACTCTCAATTTGGGCTTGGAGCCTTCAGTTTTTCCAGAATTCCAATTTTAATAGTGTTCCTTTCACTCAAAAGAAAGTGAAAACAAATAGTTTCCAGAAATGGTTCAATGCTGTTCATGGGCTGATGCCAGCTGAAGCCTGCATTTTTTGTCTTGAGCCATTAACCTGCTACTGCCTTGAAATCACTTGGAGTGACTTGAAGCGAAGTGTATTTATAAGCTGGACACTGGGATGCAACAGAAAGGGTTACCCAAGCCCTTCCATGTGAACCCAGTCATCTCTTTGGCTTTTTATTACAAGAGTAATGAGCTAAAGAAACCCATTAGTAGCTATTTTGAACAAATTAATGACAGTTAAATATACCCAGCCACTCAGAGCAGCATGATTCATTCATAAATAACACCCAAGTCATTGGCTAAGGTCCTATTTACATAAATTAATGAAATGATCACATTTACAACAGTGTGTAATTTAAAGATAATCGCAGGAACATACACGAACAGAACCCTGGCCTATGTTGTTTGATAGGAAATTAAAGAATAAATAAAGAGACATGGTGAGCTTGAGAGAATATGTATCAGGTTGGTTCAAGTCAGCCAGTGTGGCAGTGGGAGCTCTGGAGCTTTGCAGGGGGTTCCTGCTGCTGACCTTCACAATGCTCTCGCTGCTGCTAGCTTAGGAAATTGAGCCATTCCCATCTTCTGCTGTGAGTGAGACTGTAGAAGGTCCAAAACTCTGTTTTACAAGGCTGCAGTGATAGCTTTTCTTTTCATATTGTGCCTACTTACAGCAGAGGTACTATTGGAGCTGCCCCCTTTGTTTCTAGATAAATGAATTAGCATCAAGAGGAGTTTTGACAGTAGTTTGGTAAGTAACTAACCTGAAGTTTGTAACAATGTGAAGGTCTAGCTACTAAAATTTCAGCCCAAATCCATCTTGTTGATTTTGTGGCTTTTTCTTTTTTAACTACCTGACTGGTTTAAACAAAAATGGAGTGTGAGCTGGAACGTGGAGCCAGCTTGTAGACCATTTTGTTGTGTGATTTATGAAATGCCTATCATTAATGTTCAATAGAACAGGGTTTGTAGGAGTGGTACTATCCTTTCCTGGAATAGCTAACACTGTTGGGAACAAAACAGCAAACTTTCTAGTTCCCAAAGTCTTCAGAAGGTGCTGGTTGGAGGAAGTGCCCAGTACTGGACTACCAGGTCAGAGTGCAGATGCCTAGCTGGGAAGCACTGCTGCTTCACAATAAACATGACTGGAAGCTTAAGAGCTGCTAAATTAAGAAGAGAAAATGCTATTTTATCACTTTATTAATAGGAGTGCTCTATTCGTGTTTTTCCCCAACCTTGCAATTATTAGGGGTGACACAAGGATATATTTACCTGCAATTGCATTATGAACAAAACCACCCATGTAAGGTGTAGGCTGTACTCGAGATGTACAAAATCAAGCGTCTGTCAAAATGTACCCTGATTTATTGGTGGCAGAACATCTATGGCTAAAAATATTTTTGAATGAAGACGTCAGAAGCTATTTGTTGTGAACTTATGGATCAAGAGAAGCAGGTTTTGCTGGACTCGGGCACTAGAAAATCCATAACAACATAACCTCATGTGAGAAGTTTTCCTTGAAATGTGTGTACTGAAAAACTATTTTCTGTGATGTCCAGAATATAGTCATGTACGTGAAAGGAAATACTACTTCATCAGCTTTAGCTGTCGTCAGGAAGATTTTTGGCAACTACAGTTTTACTTTGGTTCAGATGCAGACTGTTGGGCATGGTTCTCTCTCCCTCCTCAGAGAACTTGTATGTTCATTTGTGTTTGTTTTGCTTCAGTCAGCTGTAAACTTAAATGAATGTTTTCAAAATTCACGGATCCATCTGATTTTGATGTCAGAATGGATTGTTAGATACTTTGATCTTACTGCCTGTCTAACACAAACTAGTGTTTCAGACAGAAGAACAATGCTGATTTGAAGATACCAGGCAGACCTTTTGCTTTTTGGTAATTTATTTCATAGGTTAATAACTTTGGTGTTATAATTTTTTTTTTTAAATCATTATTTCTAATTTGAATATGTGACATTTGATTGTGGTAGTGCTTTCCCTGATGAATTAAAATACCCTGCAATACTTTCTGTTTACTTCCTGTGAAGATGCTTAAGCACTGCAATCAAGTGTTTCAGCCTTCTTTTTATAATCTGAAGAGACTGAGTGAACTAAACTAATGAATTAGTGTAATAGCGATTCCTGGGTTTCTATCTAAAATTCCCACCTTACAGGTATTTCTTGATGCAGCACGTTCATAAATTTGCAGGTTGAAGGGTTATGCGGGCACTTTTTGTACCCATCTTAAGCTATGGTACCCACTTCCTGAGCATTTGATGCCTCAGGAATTTTTTTGAATGCCAAGTTTCTATCCTTGCGATGCTCCTCCACCTTACCAGAAAAGAGTCTGGGATGAATCCTCTGGATTTCAGCCCCTCTTTTCAGGCAGTGTTAGTCCTTGCTTTGGTCTGTCTCCTCTTTCTGACATTCTCAGGATTGACCCTGTGCCCGCTGCTCACTGTCCTGTGTACATTGTACAGGGGATACATGGCGAGACTCACCTCCCAGTTATGCCAACTGTGTTGGGTGGCTAATATGAAGTGATACAACTGCCCTGGCAGAGCTAATTAGAGCCACAGTAGTAGCTAATGTACACAGTGGGATGCAGCATGTTAAAAGTGCTTTGTTCTGTACGCACAAGAGTGCAATTTCTGATTCACAACACAACCTCAGATGGAGGGTGTTTCTCTTAAAGACTGCTTTTTCTTTTGCAGCTCGTCAAAATAAAAAAAAAAGCCCTAGAGTTAAGCACCCTCTGGAGAGGACGCACTACCCATTTTAGGCAGCATGAGATTCATAACTGTGCCAGGGTAAAACAAAGTGCTTAAGACATCTTAAATCAGCTCCAGACAAGTGCCAGGCAGCTTTCAGGAGGATTAATGTACAAACCAATAGGAGGTAAATGCCTTGAAATTCTGCTAGAGAAGAATCAAGTACAAACACTCTCAGGCACACTTAGAAC